CTCTGGGGGACACAGCGGGAGATGCCTTTCGCTGAAACTGGGGAGTGAGATGTAGACTAGACGATGCCCCTCAGTGGAATGGACTTGGAGAATAGACATGGAGTCTATGAGTCTATCTGGAAAAAACTGGAAAGAAATGAATTTTGTTACTTTCTCAGTAAGTGTTGGCACAAACACAGTGGCCTTCTGTATTCGATTATTCTAATGTGGTTTGGTTAATTACTAATCTGGGTTCCTGAATTTTGTATTGCCTGAACTTCAGTCTGTGGTGGTAACGCCGAAGTTGTAGAGTGATGTCAAAGGAGGTAAAACTCATGACCCTTAATTCAAATGAAATATTCCATTCTGCTAAAATATAAAAAAAGTTATAATATTATCCATCTCACAATAGAGCGGGCAAGTTCTTTGAACAAACTTTTCATCCTGTCCCTCCTCTCTCATTATGAGCCCAGCAAAGTGACAACAGAGATCTGTTTGGCAGCGTCTGTGAAGGAGAAAACAGAGTTAACGTTCGGGTCCGGTGAGAACTCTGAGGAAAGGTCACTGGACCCGAAACGTTAACTCTGTTTTCTCCTTCACAGATGCTGCCAGACCTGCTGAGCTTTTCCAGCAACTTTTTTTTTGTTCCTGATTTACAGCATCCGCAGTGCTTTTGGTTTTTACAGAGAACTGTTTGCATGCTGAACAGAGGCTAAGCAATCCCACAACCATTGGATCAAGTCAAAACTCTATCATCCTTTGACCTCCAGTTCCAAAATGCACTGGACAATCAAACAACTAACTGGTAGAGGAGGCTCTATAAATAGCTCCATCTTCAATGATAGTGGAATATAGCATATTAGAACAAAGGCTAAGGCTGAAATAATTGCAACCATTCTCAGCCAGAAGTGGATGACCATCTGAGAGGTGTCCAGTTTCTCAGATGCCAGTTCGCAGCCAATTTGATTCACTCCACATGGTATCAAGAAATGGCTAAATGCACTGGACGTAGCATTGACAATGTGATAACATTCCGGTTGTAGTCCTAAAAGCATGATGCAGAACCAGGTGTGCCCCTAGTCAAGCTGTTCCAATGCAGTTACCTCACTGGCAAAGTGAACAATTGCCTACGGATGACTTGTCCGTGAAATGCAAGACAAATCAAATCTATCTAATTGCTGACTGATTAGTCTGCTCTCAATATTCAGCACTTATTCACCAATAGTCTGTTCACTGATGTTCAGTTTAGTTTCCACCATGACCACTGGACTGCAGATCTCATTACAGGCTTTACCCAAACATGGAAATGTACTGAATTCCAGAAAGTGAAATGAGAGTAACTGGCCCTGCTATCATGGCAGAATTTGTCCAAATGTGGCATCGGGAAACTCTAGTAAAATTGAAGTCAAGACAATCCAAGGGAAGAAAATCTCCAATGATTGGAATCATACTAAGCACAAAAGATGTTTGTTATTCTTGGAGGAGGATCAGCATAGTCTCAGATCTTTGCAGAAGTTCCTAGGGAGAGATTTTTAATCAACCTGTTCAGAGATATTATGATACACCCCTAGAGCAGGTGATACTTGAAACCAGGCCTCCCTGGTTTAGAGGTGGAAGCACAATTAATGTGTCTTGAGAGCCCAAGTTGCTCAGGAGAATGTCTAGGCTTAATCGCGTTCTGCTGCTGCATCAGTAACCTCTCTATCATAAGATCAGAAGTGGGCATATTCACCGAAATATGCAGTGTTGTACTATTCAAAACTCTTTACATTATGAAAGACTCTCTGTCCGTTATGAAAGACTCTGTCCATGTGCAGGTAGACCTGGACCACATTCAGGTTTGGGCTGATGGGTGTCAAATAACAGTTTATGCCTTAAAAGGTTGAGACAACCAGAAACAACCTAACAATCTCAGCATCACATTCAGTGGCAACGTCAATGTTCATGCCATCACAGGCAAGTGTTGCTTTGAACCTCATTTTGCCGTATGCGGTTGACCTTTTGCACTGCATGGGCTTTTAGCAGCAAGACACATACCTTTTAATAGAAATTATTTTTTCCTCTGGGAAATTTGCTTCCTGCATGACACTCCTGAAGGCTGTGCACCTGTGCTGCCTAGAAGGAACTTTGATATGAGGGTTGTTAATGACCAGAAGCTTAACTAGAACAAACTTGTAGATAAGATTGTGTCTGTGACAGCAGGTTGTAGGCGAGGAGTTTTGGGGTGGCTGGTCTCCAGATTCCCTAATGACTGTACACCATCGAGAAGGCACAATCATACAGCATGGAAACAGACCCTTCAGTCCAACTAGTCCACGCTGACCGATATTCCCAAACTACACCAGTCAACCTGCCTGGTCTTAGTCCATGTCCCTCCAAACCTTTTCTATTCACAAACTTATCCAGATGTCTTTTAAATGTTGTAACTGTGCCTGCATTCGCCACTTTCTCTGGCAGTTCATTACACACATGAACCACTCTCTGCTCAAAAAAAAAATTGCCCTTCATGTTCTTTTTAAATCTTTCTCCTCTCACCTTAAAAATGTGCCTCTTAGCTTTGAACTCCCCCACCTTAGGGAAAGGATTCTTGTCATTCACCTTATCTGTGCCCATAATGATTTTATAAACCTCAATAAGGTCATCCTGAACCTCCAGTGCTCCATGAAAGGAGTCCCAATCTTTCCAGTCTATTTTTATACCTCAAAGCCTCCTTTCCCGGCAACCTGGCAGATCCTTTCAGAACCCTCTCCAGTTTAATAATATACTCCTTTAACAGGGTGACCAGAACTGCACACAGTACTCCAGAAGAGGCCTCACCAACACTCTGTACCTCCTCAGTTTGATGCCGTAACTCTTGTACTCGAAGACGTGAGCAGTGAAGACGCATGCTAAATGCCTTCTTAACCACCCTGTCTACCTGTGAAGCAAATTTCAACAAATTATGTACCTGAATCCCTGGGTCTGTCTGTTCTTCAACACCACCCAGGGCCCTGCCATTAATTGTGTAAGTTCTGTCCTTGTTTGTATTACCAAAATGCAATACCTTGTATTTATCCAAATTAAACTCCATCTGCCACTCCTCAGCCTATTGACCCAATTGATCAAGATCTCTTTGTAATCTTGGTTAACTACCTTCAGGGTCCACTGTACTGCCAATGTTGGTGTCATCTGCAAACTTACTTGACTAGAACCTCAATCTCTTTATTCATGTATTGTTCCCTAATCTTATTAGCCTTGCCTTTCACTCCAACAGGAAGATAATGCTTCTGAATGCTCGTTATCACACTTTTGAAGGCCTCCCACTTGTTAGTTGTCCCTTTACCTATAAGCAGTCTACTCCAATCAACTTTTGAAAGTTCTCATCTCCTACCCTTAAAATTTGCCTTACTCCAATTAAGAATTTTAACTTTTATGGAAGACTTATCCTTTTCCGTAACTATTTTAAAACTAATAATATTATGACCACTAGTCCCAAAGTGTTTCCCCACAAACATTTCAGTCATTTGTCTTGACTTATTTCTCAAGAGAATGTCAAGTTTTGCTCCTTCTCTAGTATGCACATTTACATATTGATAAGAACATTTTCTTGAACACATTTAACAAATTCTTCATGATCCATACCTTTAACACTATGGCTGTCCAGTCAATGTTTGGAAAATTAAAATTCCCTACTATTACAACCTTATTATTCTTATATGTATTTGAGGTCTCTCCATATATTTGCTCCTCAATATCCCACTGACTGTTGGGGGTGGAGCCTATAGTACAATCACATTCTTATTTCTAATTTCAACTCATATTTTCACTATATTATCCCATAGAAATATTCTCTGTCATTACAGTAGTAATGTTTTCCTTAATCAAAAATGCCACTCCCCTCCCCCCCCGACTTTTTGCATGTCTTTCTATCCTTCCTATAACATCTAAAATCCAGAACATTGAGCTGCCAGTTCTGACCTTTCCTCAACCAAATTTAGAACATAGTACTGTTCTT